CCCCAAAACCCCAAAACCCCAAAACCCCAAAACCCCAAATTTTTGAATAATTATTGAATTTATTTCATTAGTTTCTGCAGTTCGTGGTAGAGAGAAGAACTATCCATCTTTTGGTCGATTGATAATCGAGATTTCAATCTCACTGAGGTATTTGTAGACTCCTCTCCTGACCGAGGGGAAGGCCTGTGTTTGTAGAACTCTGAATACTTCTTATCGCGAGGTGGTTTTGGTGCTGATCCCTTTATAGACTTAGTCCTCTCTCTTGGGCTTGAAGCAAATGCTGAAAAGTCTTCATATAATATTTTATTCATCCCTTTGATAGAGAGTTTATCATATTTGAATTGAAGCATCATTACTAAAGCATTGAAATTTTCATGGGTGAAGAGGTTGGATTCATCTCCAGAGCCTGAGAAAGCTTTGAGCAGCTTTTTAGCTTGGTTTACATAGAGCTCAATCATATAAGGCTTATTTAATCGAAAGCTCTACAGCTGAAATGTAGAATTTTGTTTTTGTAATAAACATGTCAATGTAGAATTCTTTATTTAGAGATAATAACAATTCCTTGGTACAGCTTCTTCCTCTTGACAACAAGGAACTGATCAACAGACTTGACTGACTCTCTGATCTTCTCTAGCCTCTTCATGTTAGAGATGTAATCTGGTTGTTCTTCTGGTGGAGGGCAATAATCATAATTATTAGTAGCAAATGAAGTAGAGCTATTTGGGGGTGGCAATTCAGGCAATATCGATGAATCATAGTTATAAGGGTTAGGATTTATCCTAGAAGACACAGAATGATCATCCATAATACTCTGAGTATTAACTAAGTCCTCTGATGCCTTATTTGTTCCAAAAAACCTCCGAACGCTTCCAATGTCATTAGATCTATTAGCAGCTTTGCTTCTTTTCTCATCAAGAACATAAGGATGCTGACATCTCAGATTTGCATATTTCTTGGACCTTTTTCGATCATTTTCCCATTTTCTGACATTATAAGTAGGGGAAGAATTTTGTAATCTTTGTAAGAACTTTTTGTTTTCCTTTTCTATTGCATCTTTCTTCATAATTCTTTGTCGATTCTTACCAAAGTTCATAATACCCTTAATTCTGGAAGTGAAGTTCTTAGACAATTTATGAGGAGCTTTTCTTGTGTGAATACGGGCCATTTTCTCATAAAGAATCCTATTTTCTCGTTCTATCTCTGTGACCTTATTCTCATTAAGTTGTTCTCTCTTATTTGTTATTAATAGTAATCCGAGTGGAAGGTCTTCCTTTGTCAAGGAACAATGATGAGGTCCTAGTTGGGGCCATGTCAAAGTGCTATAGACGTTAAAGCATTAAGGCTACCATTGATGTCTTCCTCATAATTTAATTTTGTAGTTTCTTCACTCAACTATATTTATAATTTTCGGGGTTTTGGGGTTTTGGGGTTTTGGGGTTTTGGGGTTTTGGGG